TGACCTATCTATTGGTGATAGGGGGGTATTGAAGTCTCCCACTATCACTGTGTTGGAGTCTATATATGTTTTTAGGTCCTTCAGAGTATGTTTGGTGAAATTGGGTGCATTGACATTGGGTGCATGTAGATTGATAGTTGTTATTTCCTTTTGATGTATTTCCCCTTTTATTAGTATGGAATGTCCTCCTCTATCTCATTTGATCAGTGTAGGTTTGAAGTCTACTTTGTCTGAGATAAGTATTGCTACTCCTGCCTGTTTTCAGGGGCCATTGTCTTGGTAAATCTTCTTCCAGCCTTTCACCCTAAGGCAGTGTTTGTTTCTGTCAATGAGATGGGTCTCCTGTAAGCAACAGATTGTTGCATCTTCCTTTTTAATCCAGTTTGACAAATGATGTCTTTTGATGGGGGAATTAAGTCCGTTAACATTCATTGTTAGTATTGATAGTTATGTTGTGATTCCTTTCATTTAGTTGTTTTTGTTGTTTAAGGGTTTGATTGTGTGCAGCTGGATCAATGTTACTTTCTACTTTCTTGCCTTTTCTTCTCCTGTGGTTTGGTACTGCCTGTCCTTTCATGGTTTTGTTTGCTTTCATTTTCTGTGTGCAGAATTCATTGAAGAACTTTTTGTAGTAGTGGCTTGGTGGTCATATATTGTTTTAGTTTCTGCTTATCGTGGAAGATTTTTATTGCTCCATCTATTTTGAATGATAGTTTGGCTGGGTAGAGTATCCTAGGATTGAAGTTATTTTCATTCAGTGCCCGGAATACCTCACTCCATGCTCTTCTTGCTTTTAAGGTTTCCGTTGAGAAATCTGTGATTTTGATGGGTTTACCTTTTTATGTTATTTGTTTTTTCTCTCTTACCTCCTTCAATATTCCTTATCTATTCTCTGTGCTTGTTGTTTTAATGATAATATGTTATGGGGTAGTTCTATTTTGGTCAAGTCTGTTTGGTGTCCTGAATGGGCATAGTTTTCTCTAGAATTGGGAATTTTGCTGTTATTATTTTGTTGAATATATTACAAATTCCTTTTGCATGCACCTCTTCTCCTTCTTCAATGCCCATGATTCTCAGGTTTGGTCTTTTGATGGAGTTGGTGAGTTCTTGCATATTCCTTTCACAGGTCTTGAGTTGTTTACTAATAGCTCTTCAGTTTTTCCTTTAATTTCCATTTCATCTTCAAGCTCTGAAATTCTTTCTTCTGCTTGTTCTAGTCTGCTGGAGTGGCCTTCCATTGTGTTTTGTATTTCTGTTTCATTCTTTTCTCTGAGGTTTTCTATATCATGGGTCACTTCCTCTTTAATATTGTCGATTTTCATCCTTAATTCATGTATCTCTCTATTTATGGTATTCTCTGATTCACTTTGGTGTTTATTTAGGACTCCTGTGAGTTCATTTATTTGTTTTTGTGTCTTTTCATATTCTTTATTTTTGTTGTCTTGGAATTTCTTGAGTGCCTCCTGTACATTTTGGTTGACCATGTCCAATAATATCTCTATGAAATTCTCAGTGATTACTTGCAGGATTTCTTCTTTCAGGATGTTCTTGTTGGCTCATTGGATACCTTAGCATAGTTTATCTTTGTTTTGTTGGAGTCTGAACTGGATATCCATTTTCTTCATTTCCCTCTGAATCCTGTATTAATTTATTTTTGAGGGGAGAATGGTTTCCATCCCTTTTTTGTCTTCCCATCACTCCACTTGGTGCTGTTTCTGTCCCTAGTCTGTATGCAATTTAGTAGTAGCTAACTTACAATAGTAAAACTAATAAGATAAAAAGAGAATAAAAAAATAAAAGGAAAACCAAAGAAATCAACAGGGAGAGGTGATGGACAAATAAATAGGAAACAAAACAAACAAATACATAAAAAAAATTCCAGGTTCAGGAACAATAGAATTTTAGTCTTAGTAGTTCTGGTGTTACTCTTTCAGCATCCATTCCCAGTGTTGGTATTTAAGCAGAAGCTCTATCTTAGTCTCGCCAGGTTTTTGGGGAGACTTGCTAGTTTTTTTTCCTGTCTTTCAGCGGCAGCTCCTTAGTCAGCTCCTCCCTCAGTGTGGTGTTACTTGTCCTCAGGTTCCGGAGATCAGCTCTGTGGCCCTCTAGCTGTCCTGCTTTGGAGTTGGGTTTTCACTGTGTCGGTCTGCTGGGGGCTTGTTTCTTTGCCTCATGCCCTTTCTCTGGGGCAAGGTCAGAGATCCATCAGTTGGCTCCCTGCTGTCAGCATGTTATGCTGGTTTGCTATTCTTCAATTTTGTAAAGTTGTTTGACTTTGGATGTTGCTCACTGACTCAGGAGATGAGCTTTGTGGACCTCTATCTGCCTTATTTCAGGCAATGGCTTATCACCCACCCACTGTCGACCCTTCTGCCTTTCCAGTCTTTGTTTACTGAAAGTTCATGCGGAGATCAGCTCCTTGCCCTCCTCCCTTCTCCAGTGTGCTTAGAGCACCCTGCCCCCTCTGCTGCATGTTCCTTTTCATTTCCTTGTTTATTATTCAGTTGTTTTTTTTTTTTTTGTGGGGCGGGGGTCAGTCTGTCTGGGGGACTATGCTGGTTTATCCTGGGGTAGCTGTGAGAATACCACATGCCACTTATTTGCTCACCTGTTGGTCTGCTGGTTGTCTCCCAAGCAGGTTTGGAGCTGGCATCTGGCAACTCAGGAGCCCTCCTGTTTTCTCTGTGTAACAAGGTGTGGAGAAGCTTTGTATGGGCTGGGGGTTCGGGGTGTCGGAGTTTTAATTTTTCTTTGTGCTTTTTTTTTTGTCAAGTGTGACTCCAGCGTCTCAGCAATATTTTTGATTTATGGAGCTCATGCTGTCTGCTTCTGCCCTCTAGTCACCATCTTGGATCTCTCCCAATTTCATTCTTCTTTATGGCTGAATAAAACTCCATTAAGTATATATACTACATTTTCTTAGCCCATTCATCAGTTGTGGGGCATTTGGGCTGTTTCTAAAACTTGCCCTTCGAAGAATTTTTTTTGTAATATTAAGACCCTCTTAAATTTGCATTCTGATTTAGGGTTGCCTTAGTCTAAATTTAAATCTGTTCACATTTTGGATCCTATCCCAGGGCTTTACACTACAGACTTCTCAGCTAAACTTAATCATTGCTTTCAAATCCAGGGTAACATTCCACACCCATGGTGTATTTTAGTCTTAGTAATTATTTACCAGTAACCTAGATAGGGCAGATGGCATGTGCTGTTCTGTGTCACTCACCACCCTCCCCATCCTCTCTACAGTCCTATTTTATAATCAGTTTTTACATTTTATGGTATATCTTTCCTCTTCTCCTAGGCAGCTAGGGTATTCTTTTTGCTGAGTACATTGAAAAATAATTGAGGAAAAGAAAATCAGAGAGTTTAGAGATCTTTCTATTCAGGAACAAAAGTTAATGTTTGAGTTAATTGTCTTTGCATTGTTTTCACGTTGTTTATATCTTTAAAATGTTTTGCATTTGCTCATAAATCCTCCATTGTTCAAAACATTGCTTTTGTAAAGTGTGCAATATTGTCTTCTACCTTGTTTATCCTAGATCTGTTATTTTTCTCTTCAGCTCTTTGCTGAGGCTAATACTTAAAAGAAAGAAGTTGCTTGGCCTATCAGCTATGATTTCTGCCTCAGTTCAGTTCCGATGTGTCAACTGATAGGATGGGACAGATGAACATTCTGCTGACCAGCATATGAATGGGAAGGGTAGAGGCTGATGATGGATGAATATGTCTGAAGGCAAACTAAGAAATTCCATGAATATGAGTGTGCAGGGTAAAATTGGGACCAGCAGATGGTGGGTCTAAGCTGTATCTTATTTCTGTCTCAGCTATGATATTTGCTGTAGCTGTCTTTACAGAAGCCAGCTGGGACTGTCCATTTTAACTGCCAGTGCCCACTGGTTTTTATAGAAGGCACTTGTTACTTTTTTTAGAATTTGTTCAGTCTCTCATTTTTATGAGTGTTGTGTTCACTTGGTGGTAAAAGATGATATTCAAAAACAGAATATATGAGAAATGATCTTTCCCTGGAGAATGTTCCAATTAGATCCCATTCCCTGTTCCTTACATTCCTGTGATCTAGCTGTTGCCACATCATGATTAATTACTGAAAGTTATTCCTGTGTTGTAAAGAGAAGAAACATTTCTCAGAAAAAAAAATCAACACGTGTAGCTTTAAATCAAACAGACTTCTAGTTTTAGCTTTCCTTCGCAATATATCAAATTTAATTTACTTGATCCAAAGTACCTTTAAGAAACATGTTTTTAAGTTCTAATCAACATAGTTCTACAAATAGATATAATTAAATTCATTATAACTAGTATTCCTTATGTTGGTTTATACATGTTACCTTAGCATTTCAGAGGAAAACACACAGAAACTACAGGTAGGATCATGTAAAGTATGGAACTAAAGGAGAATACAACTTGGAGTCATATTTATTCTATGTCCTTGGGAAATGCAGATGTGTAAGAAAAGAAAATGATCATTTTCCTTCATCTTTTGGTAACTTCCTTTGACACTTCTTCCCCCAACAGTCCCAACAGAAATCCCAGGGCTGACTTTCATTTGCCTGACTTGGGTGTGTTCTTATCTGTGAGTCAATCACTCTAACTTACTGGTTAGGGCTAAGGTTTGCTTTTGGTTTTCTGTAAAGTGTGTAGTATTGTCTTCTACTCTGTGTATATCCTAGATTTGTTATTTTTCTCTTTAGCTCTTATTTTGGTTTGGTTTTACCCATTTCTGGAATTTAGTTATTAGATTAGCTTCTCTTCAACCATATGGAATGGGAATGGGGGAAGAAATTTGGGGTGATATTAACATTGGAAGAGGAAAGGGATACTGAACAGTTAAAAATACAAATGTCTGCTCTATCCCCAAAGCTGTTTAATTAGGAGAGGTCTGTCCTTCAACCAACAGTGCATTGGCAGCTGGACTTCTTAGCTAGACCTTCTACTGTCAAAGCCTAATCCCTCTCCATATTGTCTCTGTTTTGCTGCAGATACCTGTTTCCCAAGTTTACACTGTGCTGGACTGAGTTTGCAGACATGAAGGTCCGTGTGCCCTGTGAAACAATTGAGTACATTGAAGCCAATTATGGTAAGACCTGGAAGATTCCTGTAAAGACATGGGACTGGAAGAGCTCTCCCCCCAATGTGCAGCCCAACGGAATCTGGCCTATTTCTGAATGGGATGAAGTTATCCAGTTGTATTGAGATACTATGTTGAAATGGGAGAATTTTTCTCCTCAAAAGAAGGTGGAGCTCTGTTTAAAAAGCTAGATGACTTTTTGTCACACATAAGTGGGAACCAAAATAGAAAAAAAATAACAAATTTAAAGATATAGAAAGAGGCCTAGCTGTAAGCCATATGATGTAATTCTCTCATTCAGCATTTATTGAGGAGTTTCTATGTGCCAGGTAAAATGCTAGGCTTTGTGGAGAAGCAGAGATGAATGAGCAAACCTTCCCTCTTTCCTGTCCCTTTGGTAAGCATGCCAATTTTCCTTTGTAGGAAACTCCCCCATCCTTTGAAGAGTCAAAGTAGAATGTGATATGTTCTATCATGGTTTTTTAAATACTCAGTATTGTTTAGATTGGAAGATGAACTCATTAGGCAAACCCAAGGAAGGATATGCTGTCTAAAAAGATTAATCCATTCTTGCCTGTCCTCACCATTTAAGCTGGTATGTTAGTGCCACCTTTTAAGATGTGGAATTTGAGTTAATAATATTCCAGTGATCAGATCAGACTTTAGGTGGCATCAAGAAAAGGTGAAGTAGATTCATTTTACAAGTAATCTAATGTGGAATTGATTTAGAACACAGGCATTATTCTATAGGAGAAGGTGAGAACTTACTTCAAGCCTTGTCAAGGTAAGTAAATTTCCATGTACTTACTATTTTCATATTTGAAGTAAGAAGAAAACTGACACTTGTGGGATACTTAAATTTCTAACTATTGTGAGAATTTTTTTCACTGACCTTTAATAAGTAGTTGTTCACAAATTATTCAAGAAAGACCATGATTTTCTAAATAATTTTGAAAGAGTCATGATTTCACAAAACTTATTTTCCTTATTTTATCTCACATACTCTTTTAGATAATAATGAGCTATTTATGGGCATTTTATATTTTCTGAATTTATGATCCTTGTACTAATTTTAATGTTGACACTAAAATATTAATAGAAATACATCTAATATCTCTAATACTTTGTTGTATTTGTTCAGCAATCATAGCTCCATATCTTTAATTTAGGCCTATAGGCCAACTTAAATGTTATAAAAATCTACCTGTTCCTTTTCTTCTAATACTACTTCAGATCTTCAAACTAAAAGGTCAATAATGACTCTGGTAACCATTTGTGACCCTAGATCATAGTCTTTGTAAAGCTTGTGTCCATCTCTATTCAATCTGCTGAATATTGATGGGGTAAAAACTCAGACTTCCCTACTTTATCAAGTACTACCCACTTTAGAACACTTCAGTTTCCTTTTTCCCTTCAAGATACACCCCCGAGTGGGCAGCGGTGGCTTTGTCTCCCTTATCTCTTCTCTAGTCACTTGAATGATATATCATAAGCAAGAGATAATGGGAAATTCAGGCACAATAAATGCTGAAGGTAAGTGATACCTTATCTCTGCTGTTTAGGACTTCTTTCTGGGGTAGCTTGGCAGATTTTCCACTAAAACTAGAAAATCTAGTCTCAAGGGCTGACAGAATTTCCCAAAACAAGCTTGATGAAAGTAATCTACAACACCCCTCCTCCAAATTTTAAAAACAACATGAAAACTTTCTTTGATGAATGATAACCAAACATTGGTTCTTTTTATAAATAATAAAAGCAAGTTTTCAGGGACATTTACAGATTATCAACAAACTTGTCCCCAAATGACAGGTCATCATAATCAGCTTTTTCTTTATTAGAAAATAAGCCACAGAGTATAAACCCAAATTTTAAATAGCTAACATAGTTTTGTATTTCATATGCCAAAACAATACAGTAGATAATAGTGTTCTTGGATAAAATTCATCAACAGCTTAGAGAGGACTATTTGCTTGTGCTCTGCATCTAGAAGCATATACACTTCACATTTCTGCCCATTTCAAATAGGACTCATACTGTTTGCCAAGAGATTTTACCCATCTACCCCTTTTCAAATTATTTCTCTTGTATCTGCCCTTGGAGTACTAGGTCTGGGAGTGTTCAAAATCTAAGATATCTTGGTCCCATTGACAAACATTCCATATTCTTCCCTATATAGACCACAGGCTCCTAAAATACCTTTCTTGTCTTCCTTCTGGTTTTTGCAGGCTTCATCATCTTGGGTTCCACCCTAACTTGGGAAAATGGAAGCCTCTCCTTAGAATCTGAAGGCTAGACCTGCCTCTGATAGTGATCCAACTATACTTCCTCCTATACATCTTAATATTTGAACCCTGTTGAGTATCCAGAGACCTTTAGTTAGGTGTATATACCACTAATACCTTATCAGATCACTTTTCTTTCCTCACCAGAATATTCCAACAGTCATTCTCCTAATCTGACCATTTTCAGGTCTGTTTGCCTGCTTTACCTGAAGATCTCTTATATTAATTTGTTGGTAGTTAGATACCATGGTTGTCTCCAGAGAGATCCTGAGAAGCAAGATCTTTCTTAGTTGGCAACCAGGTAGCCACTCAGGCCTTCTCTAAAACATGGAGCACTTGTCCTCTGCTTATTGCAGTTACTGACATCTAGCCTCTGGAATAAAGCCATAGTAACCAAAGTTGGGCATCCTAAGACTAGCTAAACCAGTGGGACATCAGGTTTCCCTAGCTACAAACCCTGAAATGTGACCACCTGGTAGCAGAATGTCTGCTAGCACCACCCCCTCTCAAGTTAACACTTAAGTGAAAATCATCTTGCTCTTAAAAGCTGGAAGAGATTTTGGCGGAACATTTATTATAACCCTTTTATTTTATAGTGAGTAAAGAAGTGATCTGAGCAACAAACAGCTGAAACTAAAACCTAAGAGCACCATGATTTTAGTTCAGTATTGTCTTTCATTACTTAGATCACATCACAGCATCTCTAACCCTTCTTTGAGAAACTTGACAAAGAAATTGTCCAAAGCTTTAATGAGCCATCATTTCAGTGTGTTTCTACAACCCCCACTTTATATCTTTTAGTTCAGATTGAGAACCTGAGGTAACAAAGGAAGCTGAGGAGGAGCGTTTCCTTGTTGTCCAGAATTCTTAAGCTACCTTCATACCTTTTTCTGGAAAAAAAAAAAAGTCTTATCCCCCAAAAATAAAACAATTACATCTGTAGACATCATCCTGTGATATCTGATTCTCCTAAGCTCAGATGCACCTCATTGTTTTTCAGTGAATCATCCATTTCTGAAGAGTCCCTTCCTTTCCCAAAGCAACTTTTCACAAGGCTCTTTCCTTCCTGAAGAATCTTTACCTGGTAGTAGTGGTGTATTCCACCAAAGAGAACAATAGTTTATGTAACTGGAGTACTTTGCAGTGGACTTTTTTTTTTTTTAAATCTGTTTGACTAGAAAGGGCATGAAGTATCTACTTTAAAGTATTTAGACTACCTTTAATTATATATATATATAGTGATACTTTTTTATTGGTGCAAGTAGTTAACAATAGATTGTGTTCATTTTTAAATTTGCCACTCCAACCCTTGTTTTCTATTCCTATACAGCAACAAGGCTTCAAATGGCACAGAAGATAGGCAGATAGGTGAGCGGGGATTTTTAAATTGGGTACCAGACCTAAATTTGTAAAACACACTTAGTTGAGTTCCCACACTTCAGCCTAAAATCTCAGCCAGGATCACAAGCCTAAAGCTACAAATTTCTCAAAGTTTCCCCTTCTGGAAATGAACTGCTCCTTCATCCTAAATGTTGTAAATCTCTAGGGGAAGTCTCTCCTGAAAAACCTAATCAGAAAAAGAACCACATTTCTACCTTCTAAAACACAATCATCACTTGTAATGGTTCTAAAGCATTGAAAAAAAATTACAGTTACTAAGGTCCTAAATTCAAGCCCCAGAACCAAAAATAATAATAAGAATTCCATTTACTGACCAGGCAAAAAAAATTATCCAAAGAAATGTCTCAGGCATTATTTCTCTTCTCTCCTTGTGTTCTTCTATCATTAAAACCTAGCCCAGGTCATCTCTAAAATCTCAGTTAGGGAAGGCAATATGTTGGCATAAACATAGTGGCTCTCACACCTTTAATCCCAGCTACTCAGGAGGCAGAGATCAGGAGGGTCACAGTTCAAAGATCACAGCTCAAATAGTGCACGAGACCCTATCAAAAATGCCCAACCCAAAAAAGATCTGGCAGAGTGGCTCAAGCGGTACAGCCCCTGCCTAGCAAGCATGAGGCCCTGAGTTCAAACCCCAATACTGCCAAAAAAAAAAAAAAAAACAAAACAAAAACCACAATCTTTCAGTAAAGCTTGAGCTTGAATCTCAGGTTCATTATGTAGGATTTATGGAGTGGGCCCTCTCATTCTCAATTTCCACCTGAGTGAATTGGGGAAATGTTAGAAGGATTAAATAAAACATAAATACTCAGGCCTAAGATTAAATAGTCATGAAATGTGCCATTTTCGAGTTCCATGTCTCTTTTCTAATGGAATTACAGGAATTGTGGGTCAGGATATACTGCCTTACTCAGAAGGTTCATGATGGTATTTACTTAGGAAAAAAAATTATGTTCTAGCAAAGCATTACAGGTCAAATTGTATAGTTTATGAATTCAGAGATGCTACCACATTGCTTCCTTCTCTAAATAGAACTTGTGTTTTTGTTTTGTTGGTCAAGCTGTTTATCTTAACATTATTTTAAAATTTTTTTTATGTCCTCATTGAACTTTATTTTTTTTTATCAATAGGGGTTTTATTTTATTTTATTTTATTATTCATATGTGCATACAAGGCTTGGATCATTTCTCCCCCCTGCCCCCACCCCCTCCCTTACCATCCACCCCACCCCCTCGATACCTGGCAGAAACTATTTTGCCCTTATCTCTAATTTTGTTGAAGAGAGAATATAAGCAATAATAGGAAGGAACAAGGGTTTTTGCTAGTTGAGATAAGGATAGCTATACAGGGAGTTGACTCACATTAATTTCCTGTGCATGTGTGTTACCTTCTAGGTATCTTAACATTATTTCATATGCTACTTTGTTCCTTAGTCCCACATAGTTCATTCTGCTTCCCTAAATTTGGTGCCTGCTTTGACCTCAACTTGTTTTTCAATATTCTGTCTTCTCCTAGGGGTAAAGCCTCACTGTACATCATGATTTGGAGAGTTAAAAAAAAAAATTGGGATACTTGGTTTTATTTAATTGTCTATGCTGGGCTTGGGGGGCATGTAGCTCAGGGTTCAATCCCAGCACAATAATAATAATAAAGTAGAATAGAAAAGAAAATACTCAAGTATATCTCTGCCCCCAAATTTGTGTTTCTATCTCAACAAGACAAGAATCAGCAGGTCTGTGATGCCGTTTTAAGCTGTTCCACATCAGACTGACTACTAATTATAGTTTATAAGTCAAACAGACCAATCAGTGTTGATAACTTTTGTACAGAATCAGTGCATAAAGTAGGCAAGTATAAATTTTCTAATGAGAAACTTCTGTTTCTTTACTCTCAGAACTTCTAGCTTAGAATTCTTCCCCATAATCCCTGAACCAAACCTAATAGAGAATGTATGTAAGAACCCGCTAGTGAGCCAAGCTTCTTTGTATATATGAGTACCTCTTACAGAAGGGTTGAAAGAGAAAATAAGGAACACTATCACTACTGTGTTTCGTTGTATAAAATGAGGTCCTATCTCATGCACCTTAAAAAAAAATTAAAAGATTTTACAGCCTTCTGATGGTTTATTCAGAGCATGGAGAATAGTTCATGTATTTGTTAAATGAAAATCATATGTAACTCTTTGTGTGTTCTTTCCACATCATGGCTATAAAAACCTGTATGTGAATTTTCT